TGTGTTACTGTGTCAATGGGGTCACCCTATTATTTTCACCCCATCCCTTACTTCTATTTTATTTCCATTAGTTTTCTATAAATCTCATTCTTTTCCCATTTTATTTTTTATATTATTTTACTGATTTTCTCCTATTTCTTCCACATCACTTACCCATTTTCCTATTATTATTCCATTACTCATTTTCCTTTATTCCTCCTTATAATTCCATTACCATTTCCCATTATTTCGTCATAATTTTCCTTAGCCCTTGTCACCATTACCCATTATCTTCACCTTATTACCCATTGCATTATACCCATTACCCATTGCATTATCCACATTACCCATACCTTCACCCATCACCCATTACCTTCACCCCATTACCCATTGCATTATCCCCATTACCCATTATCTTCACCCCATTACCCATTATCTTCACCCCATTACCCATTATATTATCCCCATTACCCATTATTCTTATCCATTACCCATTATTATATACCCATCATATAATTATTACCCCATTACCCATTACCCATTATTTATCCCCACACCTATTATCTTCACCCCATTACCCATTATATTATCCCCATTACCATTATATTGTTCACCCATTACCCCCATCTATATTATTACACCATTATCTTCACCCTATTACCCCATATATTATCCCCCATTACCCATTATTCTTCATTCCCATTACCCATTATATTATCCCCCATTACCCATTATCTTCACCCCATTACCCATTATATTATCCCCATTACCCATTATCTTCACCCCATTACCCATTATATTATCCCCATTACCCATTATCCTCGTGACACACCAACACCCTACCACAGGATGCTCGTGATTGTGGTACTTGTTACTACCACAACTACACCCATTGGCTTGTCTCCCATCTTCACGAATGGTCATAGTGGTGGTGGTGATAGTAGCAGAGGTGGTAGTAACAGTAGTAGTAGTAACAGGTGTAGTGGAGGTGGTGGTTTTGTAGTAGTAGTAGTAGTAGTAGTAGTAGTAGTAGTAGTAGTGTACATTTTGATATGTATTTGAGTGTGTGTATATTTGAATAAGTTCATGTATGTGTGTGTGTGTGTGTTTGTGTGTACATTATCTATGACTATGTATGTATGTATGTGTTGAAATGTCCCCTAGATATTAATTTATTGCGTTATTTCCTAATTAATTATCGTATTTTTCGATTATTTCCAATGACTTGACTATTTCTCGCATTTATTCACTATTTCCAAGAATGGCCCAAAACTATCTCTTATATTCAATTATTTCTCAACTTATCTTTCTATTTCTATCAAAAATTTTCATAACTTCCTACAATTATTAGTTATTTCTTGATAATTTCTCGTATTTTCATTGTTTTTCTATTTTCATCGTTTCCTGGATTCGTCTATTATTTCCGAGTCTATTATTTCCGAGTCTATTATTTTGCTTAATATTTCCAGAATTTCCTACAATAATGTCGAGAGATAATTCTGTCTGTTGTTGTATTTCCTGATTATTTCTCGTGTGATAATTTCGTGTACAGTATTTAATTGTTTATTTCTTACGGTCTTTCCCGAACTTATTTCCCATATGTCAACGATTACCTCCGATATTTCAAAGGTTATTTCCGATACACAACGGTTATTTCCGATATAAAAAAAAATCAAACATTTCTACGATAATTTCCAATATTTCCGAACTTATTTTATTTTAGATATTTACACAATACCGTTATTTCTCCGATTATTTCCGAACATATTTCTGGATTTATCCTTCAGTATTTCCCAGCAATGAATGAACATTATATCTATCTATCTATCTATCTATCTGTCTAAATGCTTATTTTCACATATTAATAGTTCACAATTATCTATTTATTTATTCCAGTTAATTTATTTATTCATTGTATAATTAAGTCGATTTTATTCCGTGTATATATTTATTTTAATTTTAGCTACATACATACATACATACATACATACATACATACATACAGTAAATACATACACGATATATTTAATTTTGATTTAATTTCATTTTTGTCATCTTTATCTCTCCAACTGTCTCTCAGTCTCTGTCCATTTTTCTCTCCGTCTGTCCACCTACCGTCTCTCTCTCTCTACGCTGGGTTGGTCACCGTCTCCCGTTAGTGTTCTTTTAACCTTGGCAGAACTTTATGTTACTTCTAAAACCTTAACACAACTTACAGCTTTCTGCAATTTATTTCTTAACACAAACTTGTTCTGTTTATTTACGGTATCCTTAGTAACCAACCCAGAAGGTGATTGGTTGCTAAGAGAGTCGCATCGCCACATAGGTTGATTGACACACACACACACACACACACACACACACACACACACACACACATACACACACACCCCTCACAGCACCAGAAAAGGCCCTGTGTGTGTGTGTGTGTGTGTGTGTGTGTGTGTGTAAGAGAGAGAAAGAGAGGGAGAGAGAGAACAAGAGAGAATTAAACCTCCCTACCCTGATCAGAACAGATGATGGACAACCAATGAAAACTCCATAAAAACACTCATGAGACAACTATTGGTCCGCCCAGGCCCACGCACGCGCAAGAAACCAACTTAAAAAAACAAAAAACAAAACAAAAAACCACACACACAAAAGTACTACCCGAGCCGAAGTGGAATTGAGGCCAGAGAGTGACCAAATTGAGGGCCTTGAGTGACGAAATTGAGGGCCCAAGGTGGCGAAATCAGGGGTCTGGAGTCCGAAATGATGGGGCCCGACAGACGAGGTGGGAAAAATGACATGCAGGAGGCGACAAGGGATTATATGCATGGTCCAAATTACACACCTTGAGGAACCCCACGATAAAAACTGCCTCAACGTGAAAATATTTCTGTCTCTCTCTCTCTCTCTCTCTCTCTCTCTCTCTCTCTAGATGTGAGACGGATTCCCACTTGGTTATGCTTGTATGAGGGTTGTAAGACTCGTACCTGCATAGTTGTATAGGGTGTATTCTTGTTGTATTCTTGTAACCTTGATTGTATTAACATGGTTGTATTTTTATATGTTGTTGTTGTTGGAGTCGGGTTATACTGTGTGTAAGGAGATGTATACACACTAGCAGATGTATACACAGCTTTACGGTACATTTTTGTATTTGTGGTGGTTGGTTGTATAGGTATGAATCAAGTAACTGTACCTGTAGTTGTATAATAATGTATCTCTATACCTATAAAGGTTGTATAAAGTATGAATCTGTATAAAATATCTCTGTACTTGTAGTTGTATAAATTATGTATTACAATACTTGTATAATGATTTTATAAAATGATACAATCTTGTATTTATATCAATCTTGTATTTATATCCAGTATTTCTGCGAATGTGTCGAGTGTATAATTGTATTTTGTATTTCAGAACGTGTGGCACGTGTACAGTAGAGAGCTATTGTTAAATGGGACCTGTGGCGGCTATTTTTATTTTTTCAGTTAAAGATGACTTTTTGGGCGACCATTTTGATGTTTATTTTAAAGTGGAATATATTGAAAGTAGGAAGAAGGAAAAGAGAAGCAAGAAAGAGAAAGAAAATAATGATAAAAAACAACACAAAAAGGAGTGAAATTTACCTAGAATTAAAACAAGAATTAACGAATGAAAGACGATAATGAAAGAAAGAAAATATTAATAAAAACATAAATGTAAGAGACACAAAAACTGTAAAAATTAACATAAATTTTAAAGAAGAAAGAATTAAGGAGAATGAAAGAATGAATGATAATGGAAAGCAGATGGAACTAAGAGTGAATAAAACGATAAGTTAAGTGATGAATGACGAAGAGGAATAAACGAAATCAAGATAACAAAAAGAAGAATTAAATAAGGAAAATGAAAAGGTAACTAGTAAAGCAGACGTTGTAAGAAGAGAAAGAAATAAGAAGAATGAATAAAAGAGACGTAAGGTAAATAAACGATAAAAGAAGTTAGATGCGAGGAAATGGTGGGAATAAAAGCAGGCGCTGAAAGACGACAGAAACAGAAGCATGACAAGAATGAATGAAATAAGATAAATAAAATTAATATTAGAATAAGTAAGAGAGAGAGAGAGAGAGAGAGAGAGAGAGACTTTAGAGAAGTGGGAGATTTTGATATAGAGACAAAGAAAGAGACAGACGACGATTAAGGTGAGAGAGAGATAAGAGATGATGAGAGACAATGAACGTAAACCAGAACAGTGTTGATAAGAGAAAGAGACTTGAGATATGAATCTCTCTCTCTCTCTCTCTCTCTCCTGTCTCCTCTTTTTGTCTCTCCCCCCTTCTCCGCCCCCCCCCTCTCTCCACACACGGGGGGACCCATGACGCCAGATAACTATACACGCGATAACGCATGTGAGGAAGGCGTTAGACCCGCCCTTATACGCAGTGATAGACATTGGTAACACTGGTTAAATATACGCAGTAATAGACCTTGGTAACACTGACATATATAAACAGTGATAAACTTGTTTAGCTCTACACGCGGTGATGGACCTTGGTAACACTGACGATTCGTATTACTGTTTACAAGGTATTAATTAATAATCATTGATGTTTAAGTTTTTTGTAACGCAAGTGATGCCGTTGTAATTATTTATGACTGATAAGAGAGAGAGAGAGAGAGAGAGAGAGAGAGAGAGAGAGAGAGAGAGAGAGTTATAATGTCAGCAATAAACACTAATAATGACGTTGTAGATGTGTTGCAGGACGTAACAGTAAGAATAAAATGCGGCAGTAAGAATTCTCGAGGTATTTCTCATCTTCTCTCCACAACATCGTCATCTAAATATTTCTCATCCGCCTCCTCCACGCTGATGATGGAGCCCCCCTCTGACCCTCTCACTCCTTATCGTCTGTGTTTTCCTTCCGCAGGTGTTAGTCATCCTGGCCTGGAGCACCACACTACCACCACCACTACCACCACATTACCCGACCATCCCTCCCGCCCTCTACAAAATTGCCCACAAATCCAATCGAGGGTCAGTAGACAAGGTACAGTGGAGGAGGACGGTCGTCGCCCCGCTCCCCGCACCTCTCACTCACTCGCTCCCCCACAACATCGTCTCTCTGTTTCACCACCAGAGACCTCGAGGCTGTCATCTCTCTGTGCTGACATAATATTACAAGTATTACCTGGTAGATTCCGAGGTGCTACAGTGGATAGTTAAAAGTGTGTGTGTGTGTGTGTTCTTTACAGAGAGAAAGAGAGAGTGAATCGATTTATGGGAAATAGTGTGATACGAAGAACTGGATGACTTTGTGCAATGCAAAGGTGAAAAGACCAAGTTTCAACCTTGCCGTGTGGAGTGATCGCCAGGGCTATCAGGCTAGGCTACTCCTTCACACATTCACATCCCGCGGCGCCGAAGGAAAGAAGGGAAAAAACCATTCCTATCATCCACTGAGGAATAAAAAAAAACCCACCATCAGCACCGAGTCGTCAGCCAGTCAGCCGGAATCAAAAGGCAAAACCATCTTCAGGACGTCGGCAGCAGGAGGACGGGAAGGCATTCTAACCTCTTCCCTAAATCGGCCGACGGCATACCGATCAGGCGTCCCCGGAATACCTCATGATTAAAAGTAAAATGCGTCGTCACTCGGGTTGCTTCAAGTTCCGGGAGTGTCAGACCACCACCATAGCAGCAGAAGCAGCAGCGGCAGCAGGAGGGAGCAGATCAGCGGAGCAGGACTAGTGGAGCGGCTGCCTCACAGAGATGACCAGAGATTAGTGGTACAAGTAGAGGATAGCAGCATGGTGGCCCGCTCCCCCTGCTGGTGCTGGTGTAGGTACGTAGGCTCCCTCATACTCTCACCTAGGCTCTCCCTCATACTCTCACCCACACTTACACCCTCCCTCATACTCTCACCTAGGCTCACTCCCTCATACTCTCACCTAGGCTCACTCCCTCATACTCTCGCCTAGGCTCACTCCCTCATACTCTCACCTAGGCTCACTCCCTCATACTCTCACCCAGGCTCACTCCCTCATACTCTCACCTAGGCTCACTCCCTCATACTCTCGCCTAGGCTCACTCCCTCATACTCTCGCCTAGGCTCACCATACCTCGCCCAGGCTCACCTCATACTCTCGCCTAGGCTCACTCCCTCATACTCTCACCCAGGCTCACTCCCTCATACTCTCACCTAGGCTCACTCCCTCATACTCTCACCTAGGCTCACTCCCTCATACTCTCGCCTAGGCTCACTCCCTCATACTCTCACCCAGGCTCACTCCCTCATACTCTCGCCTAGGCTCACTCCCTCATACTCTCACCTAGGCTCACTCCCTCATACTCTCACCTAGGCTCACTCCCTCATACTCTCACCTCACACTTAATTATGATAGTGTTAGGTCACATTTAATTGGTAATTCTTAATGAACATATGCCAACCTTCTTACGCCACGACGGACAGCCTGATGTCACGTGTTGATGATGAGATGTTTTCGTTGATTTCGCAGTTCATTATTGAGATTTTGCTGTCGGTAAATTTGTCGATGGAATAACCCGACAATGTAAACAAACAGAATGGAAGTGAACGAGTGAGAGAGTGTGGTGAGTGAATGAACGACAGACTAAATGTAAAGTGTGTAATAACAATTAACGGTTTACTGAAAGAGCATGGCAGGCGGAAGGCTGGACATATACAGTTATATAATTGGGGAATGGGCACTTGATTGACAATTAATATACAAGAGTGTGTGTGTGTGTACCAGAGAGAGTCTAAAGGTAAAGTGTGTGTGTATATGAATGAGTGAAAATGAATGAGATGGAGTGTGTGAATGAGTGAGTGAACGAGTGTGTGTGAATGAACGAGTGTGTGTGAATGAGTGAGAATGAACGAGAGAGTGTGTGTGAATGAGTGAGAATGAACGAGAGGGAGTGTGTGTGAATGAGTGAGTGAACGAGAGAGAGACTACAGTAAATGTAATGTGTGTGAGGTGTTGGTATGGGTGAGTGGGCGGGGAGACTACCAGGAACATGATGTAAATTATGCATAGGTGACCCTCGGCCAGAATAGGCGGGATTCTCAAAGGTTCCTAGATGTTTATAAACTGTGGTGGTGGCGGTGGTATTAGTAGTGGTGACATAAGGAGTCTGCAATAGGCCGGTTGGCCTGTGCATGGCAGCTCCTGTCGAGAGTCACAACCACTCTCTATCATCCATGAATCTATCTAGCCTCCTTTTAAAACTATCCAGCGTTCCCGCACTTACTACAAAGTTGCTAAGCTTGTTCCACTCGTCCACCATCCTATTTGTGAACCAGTTCCTTCCTATCTCCCTCCTAAACCTAAACTTATCAAACTTAAATCCGTTGCTACAAGTCCTATCCTGCTCGGATACTATAAGAACTCTATCTATATCTCCTTTATTGATTCCTTTCACCCACTTAAATACTGGTGGTGATGGTGGTAGTAGTAACAGCAGTATGAGGACCTGTGGTGTAATGGTCAGCATGCTCGCCTTGGAAGCGAGCGAATCCCCGGGCAGGGTGAAACTATGGGCAGGTTTCGTTACACAATTTGCCTCTGTCTACCCAGCAGTAACTGGAAACCTGGATGTTAATAGATTTACAGATCGTGTTCCGTGGTAATGGTTAGCCAGTGCAGTTGGCGAGTTGTCCGGTCTTCTCGGACTATTCCTTGACACTGGGTCATGCAGCTCGTTAAGTCAGGGTGTGGTTGTTGTGTTGGCGACAGCTTCTACACCTTAAATAAATTCACGCCAAGGTGGCCCTTGGGCCGGCCATCCTCGTTACACGAGGGGCAACCATTATAGTAGTTTGGTGGTGGTTGTGGTTGAATTAGCTAGTATATTATTATGATCAGTAGTAGGAGTAATGTAACTGTGCTAACAGTGTATTGTTATTATTTAATATTATTATTGTTGTTTTTATTATTATTACTTTAGCCTTTTTATTGTCATTATTGGGCCGTGTGGAGTACAGTACAGTACAGTGGTATATACAAATTGTTCATCAGTTGAGGTAAATTGTTAAGACTTGTGGCGTCACCTGAAGAATCTCCACCCCAGCTTATTAACCAACCTAACCTAACAGCCTAAACACAGTTAGGTTGTTTAAGTGAACTAAGCTGGGGTCGAGATTAGGAATGTGACCGTTATCCCCTGTGATCTGTATAAGGAAGGTCAGGTCACACGAGAGGTCACCTGATTTTAGGTAATTTAGGACATACGGAGGTTATCATTATTGATCAAATTATTTTATTTCTCCATTTAATGAATTTTAACCCTAATAAACAAGTACCATTGTCGTATAAATCAGGCAATTGGTCCCGTAGAACACAATTAATGACGTCATTAACGGATTTATGACGTCATTAACAGATTTATGACGCGATCTTTGTGGTAATGACGTCATAATTTATTACCCCCTCAGTTCAGCCGCAATGCGCCCTTATTTCCCCCTCCCGTTATTATCTGGTCAGGTGGAGGTCATTAACCATTATTAGGAGAGGTCAGGTCAAATATTAATCACTGATCTGGTGATATGACCCGTAATTAAGCTGTAAAAAGGGTTATAAGGCAGATGGACCCCGTGAAATGACGTTGGTGATGTGGACATTAGTTTTGAGACATATTTGTGGCATTGGTGTGGTACAGGTAATAGAGTAGTGGAACAGATGACCGATCATTAACTAGAATACGTTGAGAAGCTTCAAATATAGGTTAGTGTCGAGTACCGTTAGTGTCGAGTACCGTTAGTGTCGTGAATGTTAGTGTCGAGTACCGTTAGTGTCGTGAATGTTAGTGTCGAGTACCGTTAGTGTCGAGTACCGTTAGTGTCGTGAATGTTAGTGTCGAGTACCGTTAGTGTCGTGAATGTTAGTGTCGAGTACCGTTAGTGTCGAGTACCGTTCATGTGTTGAGGTGAGAGAGAGAGAGAGAGGGGGGTGATGTCATGACACACGTGTTTGTATCTTAAGTTATTGTTTACGTCGGTGCTCGAGGCATAGTGTGACCAGCACCTCAAACCTTACCTGAGATTAACCACCCAATCGTTAACCCCCCAAAAAATAGCGTTAGGGTGGTTAATGTTTAGGCGATTATAAACAGGTGGTCGTGTGTCATTTTGGTCCTCGTGAAAGTCAAGTCTCAGTGTGATTTCGACGCCACATTGACAACCATATTTCTGCCTAAACATGAGTGAGTGAAAAGAATTATAGATATATTAGTTTAAACGTTCTCACATGTTTAGTTATGGGAGAAATGAACGATAAGATTGTCTAGGAATCCACCTTCGTCTAATAGTTTAAGTGGACTAGTTAAAATCGTTCTCACATCTCCAGTTAAAAGATAATTGAACATAAGGGTTTATGAGAATTCAGTGGCGGATTAAAATTCTTCTCATACGTGACATAATTATAGTTTTTTAACACATAACCTGAAGCGGATGATATTAAGTACGATGACTTTACAATTGGGTATGGCGTCTTGGCTCATTGAGTACGAGGTCTTAACCTCTCGAGTATGAGTACTTAACCCCTTGAGTACGACTACTTGGCCCCTTGAGTATAATGACTTAACCTTTTGAGTGCGATGACTGAATGATTGAATACGGATCTTATGTTCTTATTTGATCCCATGAAGACGATAACAACCCTTTGAGTACTATGACGCAATCCTGTGAGTACGAGGACTCCCCGTCATGACTTAAACACAATGAGTGGCTAGGGAGCGCCCGTCATCCAGGCTGTCATTGGCTGGAGCATATTCCCCCTAAAACATAACATGACTGAAATATGACCTGTGTTAACCCACCATAATACCTCACTTGGGTCAGGTCACATAACCATGACCCAACTCCTGTATTTGTGACCGTGATCAAATACTCAACGCGTTGCAGTCGCCAGTTAACATAAGAATATAAGAATGTAGGAAACTGCAGCGGGCCTATTGGCCCAAACTAGGCAGTCCCGTTTACACCCAATCCCTATAGCTCATATATCCGTCCAACCTATGTTTGAAGCTATCTAGCGTGTTCCAAATTACAAATTATTTCATAATGATAGGCAGATTCGGAAAAGAGGTGGGGTAGCAATATATGTCAGGGAAAATCTGAAGTGTGAAATCAATAAGGAAATAAAAACTGAACTGAATACAGAAACAATTTGGATAGAATTAACTGATGGCAGAAAAAAAAGTAATCATAGGAATAATATATAGACCTCCTAATCTCGATAGGGTTAACGAGCAATTTATTGGGGATGGAATACGTAGGGCATCCAGACATAGCAGTCTGTATAGTAGGCGACTTTAACTTTAGTTAAATAGCCTGGATTGACCTTATGGGTAACTCAGAATCAGAGGATTTTCTTGAAACAGTTGAGGACTGTTTCCTAAGCCAACATATAACCGAACCCATCCGGGGTAATAATTTACTAGACTTAGTCCTGTCAAACAGAGAAAACCTCATTAGTAGTGTCGAGGTAGGGAGTGTGAACTAGCTAACATCGACCACAAGGAAATGAGTTTCAGAGTAGAATTTAATGTCAGTCACAAGGAAAATTCCATTAAAGTCCAAGATTTCAGAAAGGCAAACTTTGATGGGTAGAAAAGGCAGCTGAGAGAAGGGGTATTACGATTGGGGTGAATTACACGACCTCCCGTGAGGTGGTAAATAACATGACCTCATACAATGTACCTACAGAGGGTGACCTCACAACGATAATGAGTTACTTGATGCACAAGGCAGAACATACCATACAGAAAACTAAGATAAAATAACAATGACCCAAAATGGATAAATAATTATTTAAAGAATATTAT